GGGGCGGTACTCTTGCAGGGAATACAATGGCAGCACAAGGTAGGTGTTCGGCACACGATGCCAAACAAGAGGTTCTAGGGTACGACATCAATTATCCACGAACACTAAACCGTGGAAGAGCTGTGGGAACACACATGTGTAGGAAACCGATAGCGGGGAGCGTCTAAAAATTACGAGTAACGGCGGTGCTCCGTCTCGCACGGGATGTAAATCAAAGGTCACCGATTGAAAAAAAGGCACTTTGCTTGGTATTACCCCCCCCCACCCCCCCCTCCTTCCCCCCCCGGTGTTTACCATCGGGGTTGGGTTTTCGTCGCTTGGCAACGACGTTGTAAAACAAGCCGCCCCTTCCGGTGTTTTGCCATCNTCCCGCTGCAGCAATCCAAGGACCTCACACTGAAGACCGATCTCGCCTTGGCAAGAAGCTCCGGTGCTAGCAAGGGTTCCGACGTGCGTCTGTCGCCTCAGTCTCTGCACCGCCTGGCTCCTCCACGGCCAACCGAAGTATGTGCTACCTACGGAATGCTGACAAGCCGACAAATCGACGACAATGCATCAATCACAAGAGAGGTGGCAAGTGTGTGTGGTTCGACAAGACGTGCCCCGAGCACGACCTGTGACCGAAGAGGTAGCGGCACGCTAGGCACGGCGTGCGCGTGTGCCTGTGAGNAAAGTATGTGCTACCTACGGAATGCTGACAAGCCGACAAATCGACGACAATGCATCAATCACAAGAGAGGTGGCAAGTGTGTGTGGTTCGACAAGACGTGCCCCGAGCACGACCTGTGACCGAAGAGGTAGCGGCACGCTAGGCACGGCGTGCGCGTGTGCCTGTGAGTGCTGCGCCTAGTAGCTCCGACAATGTAGACCCAACTGCTGAAGGGGCCGAAGACAATACTGTATGTGGCAACACTTACGAGGTACATCTACAGAGGTGTATTGCTTGACGGGAGGGGTGGAGGAAGGGGAACACATGAATGACAGTGCCACAATATCCTGGTCGATCACAATGCGGAGGCAGCGTACCTTGTTTCCCATGCCAAAGCAGTTGAAGGCGTCGTTGTAGCAAGCGACAGGGGCCGAAACAAAAACGAGGTTGTCGTTGTTGAGATGGAAGCCTTCCCTCCTCAAGACGAACAGTGGGTCTTCAGCGGTTCCTTCCTTGCACCAAGGCGCGTGGGTCACCTCGTACTTCTGCGTCGAGTCCTCCTCGGAACGGCGCCGTTTGACCACGAACCCTTCCCCCCAAAACCGATCCCATGACGTGCACCGAACACCTTGGTCCCACTCACCATCGTGCTTGTCAGCTTCCAATTTCCGCTCCAGCAGTACAGTCTTCCCAGACTCGCACAAGTCTTCCTCGTGTCTCCGGCNCGATTTCGCAAATGCATATGTCGTGTACGTACACTTTTCTCCCACAAACACTGCTCTGTATGCCATAAGCCCCATGAATGCGGACGTACTCGACAGCGTACCGTTCATGTTGGACTCTCTCACGTTGTCGACCAGCTTGGTCGGGATACATTTGACATGGTCGTTCGTCAACGAGTTGACGGCGGCCTCCTCTCCGCGCAAAATTTTCCCCGCCGCGTAGTTTCTGAGAGTGCCGTCTCCGAGACAAGCTTCATGTCGCGAGCGAGAAGCAGGTTCACAGGTACGTCATACACCACCGCCGAGCTCTTCCCTTCTTGTGTTGACGGGACATTTCGCACGAGAACCCGTAGAAGAGGAAGGTATTGCCGCATGCGGTTGTTGAAGTGCGCAGCGTTAACACGTCCCAGTCCCCTCACGTCGAAACCGTTGCCCTCGTCTTCGAGAAGGAGTATGTCCAGCAGCCCGCCTAAGCCTTTTTGCGAAATCTGGTGAGTATGCTGCCATTGCCATATCAGCTGCTGTTTCTTCATGCGGAACGGATAGAAATCAGATTCTTCCGCATTCGTGTTGTGCATAAGGTTTTCAGGGCCGCCCTCCATCGTCGAGCTCGCAGCATAAGACGGGGCATGGGTGTGAAGGTTTTACAGCCTACGCATTGCTTCAGCGCTGCTACGACTGTCTGACTCAATTGGCGGCTCGAGATGCTGTCGACGCTGTTCGGTGTTCGATTCTACACCACCGTATTGCTCCGCTCCGCCGTCATACACGTCGTCACTCGACACAGGCCCCCCACCCCCCGTGCCTTCGCCGCCATAGATGTTTGGATCGACGTCCGGAAAGCTTTGGTCCACGCTTAGTTGTGCATCCACTCGATCCATAAGGGCTGCTAGACCACCGGGGGCGATGCCAGAATCTCGCCCATTGGACGCCTGAGACGGCTCGCCGTCGTCAACCGCACTTGGCTCTTCATAGACATCTCCCAACCCCGTCCCCATCTGCTGTAGGTCGTCGTATTCTTCATCTCTCTCGTGTCCTAAATAGTACTTTGAGGAAAGACAACGTATGCGCACTTGAGAACAGAGTATGTCGCCGGGGAAAACTCGTGGTGAGCGTGTCCTCGCGATCTGTCTGGTTGATCGATGATATATGCAAATGGCCATGCAGGATTCTCATGCGGCGTAACGTTTGAGTAGAATGGCTACGGGATTGCCGACGTGCAACGACGTACACGTGGCCCCGAGCAACAAGGAAATGCGTTGTTGACGGTGCCGTTCAGCGCACATGAGCGAATTCTGCAGAATACGCGTGCGGTTCCTGATGCAAACTGCAGCCAAGGTTCCGATCGACAATTGGGCCATCAAATCACTCTGGGTGCAGGATCTCCTTGACTTGTTGACGCCTATCTTACGGGGTCAACGCACGTCGACGCTTGTTCCCAACAGGGCGAGTTCTGCACCGCCTGTGGGACCAAAATGTATGTATGTGCTTATAAACCAAGTTTCGTTATTCGTTCGTACATACCTTGTGGAACAAGCACATGCTTTTGTACGGCACCTAGAATAATCTAAGCATAGACATGTCCGCGCTTGTAAAACCAAGTTGTCAGCACACACACATGTACAATCGATGTATCTTAGCTCCTGGTNGGCGAGTTCTGCACCGCCTGTGGGACCAAAATGTATGTATGTGCTTATAAACCAAGTTTCGTTATTCGTTCGTACATACCTTGTGGAACAAGCACATGCTTTTGTACGGCACCTAGAATAATCTAAGCATAGACATGTCCGCGCTTGTAAAACCAAGTTGTCAGCACACACACATGTACAATCGATGTATCTTAGCTCCTGGTATCATTCGCACAGCGGTGTATTCATACCTTGGGCATCGGCCGATGGTGTAGCACCCTCGGGAGACACTGTGGAAGACGCAGCGTGGGTATCTCCATGTGCACCACCATCGTCGAGCGCCGGTGTGACGCTGACGTTGCCGGATCTGCGCGTGGAAAGCCAAAGCCCGAAAGGATGGATCCACGGGGGGTACGCAACCTTTGCATCGGCTTCGGTCCTTCTCTCGACGCCATATTTCGCCGCACTCGCAGTAGAACCCTGCCTCCCTCATAGGGAATTTCCCTGATGATGAAACTTCCCCCTCATTCGCCATCGACAGCGCCGCTGCGCAGCGGCGTTGCAGCTGGTACAGGTTTAAGAAGCAGCCAGCTGGCTGGTGAGGCTTTCCGCCCGCCCCCTCCGGGATATCCCAGACTGGAAAACAGCGGGGTGGGGTTGTGTCACACGGATATACTCTAGTGGGTAGCCTCGCAGCCTGCTAAGGGCCAGGTCATGGGTTCGAGTCCCGGCAGAGAGAGTTTTTTTCTCACTAAATAAATCCTGGTCTAGGATGAAAGCGACGCGCTGCAAAGCTCGTTTGTTAGTAAACCATATTCAACTTCGAAAGTCGCGAGGGAAGGGATTGCTGTACCCTTCTCGCGATAAAAATACCTCAGGCATGAACCGCAGGAGGGGGTCCAACCCCCCCCTCCTATGTGACCCCGGTTGGGTCTGTTGGATGTACTCAAAGCATTGACAGATTATTGCAACCGAGGAATGTTCCCCGAAGATGGAGCGGGGAATTTTCGGGGTTCCGCAGTTGCGGTATATTGGGAGAATGGTGGTACCATCTTTGCCACATATTGTTGTTTCCTGGGTATTCGTGNAGGGGCCAGAGGGGCAGACGACAGAGTCCAATGATGGGAGAAAAAACAAGCANGATAGGGGCCAGAGGGGCAGACGACAGAGTCCAATGATGGGATAAAAAACAAGCAAAAAAAAAATACTCTGTAGTGCCCCCCCCGTCACAAATATCGCGCGCTCATGCACTACGCTACGCGTTGGACACCTAGTGGACATGGAGGAGATGGGGACCAGGGCGGCCAATGAGGGGAGTGGGATCATCTAGGACAAGTTCACCCGTATGTACACTGCGCCTCTGTGGCTGTCGTCGCTCGTTGCGTCGTGATGCCGTGATCCCCCCTCCTTTTTTTTTTTCAATTTTCGCCACAACACCATGACACACACAGCAGCCCACACTTGCCACAACCTTCTTCGCCCTCCCCTTCCGTCTCTCTCCTTCGTGCGCCAACTTAAACTCCTACTGCGATGTCTCACCGCGCTGTTTCCCGAACGACCTCTGGGTCACCTCTCAGCGCTGTCAATGTCAACAACCATCAACCCAAGGCTGCGGCATCCCATACACCCAGCAAGGAGCCGGTGGCCAAGACCAAGGGCGCGGGCCGACGCAAGTCGGTCTCGAAGAGGAGGAAGGTTCTGCGGTCTAAAAACCCACCGATGGTAGGTTGAGAGTTCGCCTGTGCTTGCTTACTTGACCACGCGAGTTGTGTTTCTACCCTTGCGTGCAGCATGCTAAAAAAAAAACTTGTTCATCTCGTCATGAGTCTAGAATGCATATGCTATACTAATACAGAGATAAAAGCAGGATCGAAACATGTATCCGATGCAAAGCTGCAGCAAGTTTATTTCCTGCCGAAGCAATTGCAGGTTTGAGCAGTGCGCCGTCGTGTTGGCGCACATGAAATTCTGAGAATCGCCGTGCCCGAAAGTCGTGATCACCGATGTAAGGTCTTGAGCACCTCTTTTGTCGTGTAGTCCACATCCACCGGTTAAAGTTCGATGTTGTGCAAAGGCGCGCGGACGTTGCATTTGTCCCCATGTGTACTTCATTCGGTAGTCAAAACTCCTCAGACTCCGTTCTGACCGCGACGCGAGTTCTTCTTCCTCCCTATAGCAATACTCTGAAGACAAAGACAAACAGTAATGTGTTCCCCAAACAAAAATAATGACTTGTGATTTCGGTTGCAACGCACGAACGTTTGTGTTGGCCCTAATGTTGCCTTTGAGTATTTGTTATGCCGGTTGTGGGTGTGTGGAACATGTGTATGTGGACCAGACATTGTAGCTACTCCCAACACAACCTTTGACGAGAAGAGCCGGAATAAGACCCCCGCGACAGATACGTACGGGACAAAAAAAAACAGAGCAGATGCGTGATGAATGGAAGCGGTTGTTCCGTGTATCCGACTCATACTTGTATAGTCCGGACGTTCCCCGGTTGTACCCGCCGCGGTTTACGGAAGCACAATGATAANCGGTTGTTCCGTGTATCCGACTCATACTTGTATAGTCCGGACGTTCCCCCGTTGTACCCGCCGCGGTTTACGGGAGCACAATGATGAATGGTGTACGATGAGGGCCTTTCGACAAAAATGGCGCGATTTGAGCTCGCTGCCGCTGCAACCGCCCTTTCTATCCGTTCTCGATGAACTCCGCATTGCAAGTCGTCGGATATGTCACCTTTTTTTGGAGCACCCTAAATTGGTCGTCGGTCGTTTGTTAAACGAACACATTTCTAGTTGAGGTGCAACGTGAAAAACTCGTACACAGAGACAGTAATGCCCGAGACATGCTAATTATGTTCGAATAACCTTGGTAACAACCTCCGTGCACACCCTATCCCTACGTGCCGCCACCCTCTCCGTACTTTGACGGCAGGACTCATGGACGGGGATGCCGACTCTGTTCTATTGCTGTTGCAAGGTGTTCTTCTGCACTAGGGTTATGTCACCACCTACCCGTCGCTCCCCCGGTTCGTCGATAGGGTGTTGGAGGAGTAATGAGTGTGACGTAGTTGCGCTGTACCGATCAGAAGTGATACACCAATTGCCGCAAAAAGCTCCGCGCGGCAGCTCCATAGGTGTCCCGGGGCCACTCCGGCGTTCAAGTACCCGCTCGCCCGGTGCTATTCTAGCCCGGGGTCCGAGAGTGTTGTGGGCGAGGAATATCCTCACAGTGCTGCTTTCTGCCGCCCTCCCTCCGTGACCACAGCGGTCATCATCAAGGCCGTCGTTGCGGCCCGCTCAGAATTGCACGGTGATGTGCGCGGCGCCCTCGTGGACTTTTTGATCCCTATGATCGAAGAAGAGGCGGCCACGAACAACCCGCGGACCGCCGCCGACCTCTTGCGTGGGGTCCGCGAGCAGGTCGCGGACATCGACCCCGCTGCCGAGGTACACATGCCTGACAATCATAACATGTACGTAGAACTCCAACGTAGATATGCCACTTCGTAGAAATGTGCGGGCCTAGTCACGACATGCTCCNGAAGAAGAGGCGGCCACGAACAACCCGCGGACCGCCGCCGACCTCTTGCATGGGGTCCGCGAGCAGGTCGAGGACATCGACCCCGCTGCCGAGGTACACATGCCTGACAATCATAACATGTACGTAGAACTCCAACGTAGATATGCCACTTCGTAGAAATGTGCGGGCCTAGTCACGACATGCTCCCGCCCACATTTTTCGTGCCACTCTCACATCGTAAGGAAAGACCATGTGACAATGTTTTAAAAGATTAACGTACGCGAATTCTTGTCTACAACTCACCTTATCGATTGCACAACGTTCCCATTAACCACTTTGATCAGATACTTTCGTGTGATTTATTGGAACCTCTTCGCCCGATTCTGCTCTAATGTTGCAGGCAATAAATACCTTGCTTCACCGCGTCATGTGGCGCTACACCAAGGCCCACATGCAGTCGACACGCGAGGACCTGTCCGAGGGGCAACTGGTCGGCGAGGACCGGCTTCACGAGGACTTCCTCGCGCAGGTGACTCATTGTTCACGTCTGGTCTGCCGTCT